GTGGAGCACGTTTTGTCAGAACTCTCCACCATGACCTGTCCATCTTAGGTGGCCCTAGACAGCATGGCTCATAGTTTCATTGAGTTAGACAAGGCTGTGATCCATGTGATCAGTTTGGTTAGTTTTCTGTTTGTGGTTTTCATTTTGTCTGCCCTCTGATGGATAATGATAAGAGGCTTATGGAAGTTTCCTGATGGGAGAGACTGACTGTGGGGGAAACTGGGTCTTGTTTTGTTGGGTGGGGCCATGCTCAGTAAATCTTTAATCCAATTTTCTGTTGATGGGCAGGGCTGTGTTCTCTCATTGTTGCTTGGCCTGAGGCCAAACTATGGTGGGGTAATGGCAAACTCCTTCAAAAGGACTTGTGCAGGCACTCTAGTATTCAGTGCCCCTGACCCCACAGCAGGCCACTGTCGGCCCACACCTCCATCAGTGACTCCTGGACACTCACAGGTAAGTCTGGCTCAGTCTCTTTTGGGGATACTGCTCCTTCTCCTGGGTCATGGTGAGCACAAGGTTTTGTTTGTACCTTCCAAGAGTCTGTTTCCCCAGTTCTGTGGAATTTCTGTAATCAAATCTCACTGGCTTCCTGTCAAATTTCCTGGGGGTTCTCAGTCCCTTCACCAGATCCACAGGTTGGGAAATCTGTTGTGGGTCCTAGAACTTTCTTAACAGTGTGGGAACTTCTTTGTTATAATTGCTCTGCAGTTTGTGGATTGTCTGCACAGCTTCTCTATGGTGGGGCTAATGGTGACTTCCTCCAAGAGGGCTTATACCACATGCAGCATGACCCAGGCTTGCTGCAGCCAGAGCCCCTGTTCCCACAGCAGGCAAATGCTGACCTGTGCCTCTGCAGGAGACACTCCAACTCTCAAAGGCAGGTCTGGCTCAGTCTTTGTGAAGTCTCTGGATCCTGGTGTGCACAAGGCTTTGTTTGAAGCCTCCAAGCATCTCTGTTCCTGAGAAATCTCTAGGCGGGTCAAGAGGCAAGAGTTAGAACCAGACCTGGAACAACAGACTGGTTCCAAAATAGGAAAGCACTACGTTAATGTTGTATATTGTCACTCTGCTTATTTAACTTATATGCAGAGTATATCATGTGAAAAGCTGGACTGGATGAAGCACAAGCTGGAATCAAGATTGCCTGGAGAAATATCAATAACCTCAGATAGGCAGACCATACCACCCTTATGGCAGAAATGGAAGAGAAACTAAAGAGCGTCTTGATGAAAGTGAAAGAGGAGACTGAAAAAGCTGGGTTAAAAGTCAACATTCAAAAAACTAAGGGATGACTATTGGAAAAATCATAGCTTTGACTAGATGGAACTTTGTCAGCAAAGTAATGTCTCTGCTTTTTAATATGCTACATAAAAAACTACTGCTATGAATCTCATGAACCTATTATTGAGGGACAGAAGCCATACATGAAAGAATAAAAAGTGCATCTTTATATAAAGTTGAAAAACTGGAAAAACTAATTTAAAGTGTCAGAACACAGGATTGTGATTACACTTGGAGAGGGAGGTAATGGGAATGTTGTCTTTCTTGATCTGGATGCTGGCTACATAGGAGTGTTCATTTTGTGAAGTACTGATCAAACTGGACAAACATAATTGTGCCGTTTTTAGCAGGTGGATTATTTTCCACTAAAATTTTATTGTTACTGAAAACAGAACAAAACTTGGTAAAGTAGCCTTTAGTAAAATGACGTGACTCTGAAAGTTAAGACTGCACAGGCATTTTAAGAAGCTCAGAAATAGAAACTTTGCTGCTTATCTTGGTGCAATGGTAAGGAATCCACCTGCCAGTGCAGGAGAGCCAAGAGGTGTGGGTTTGGTCCCTGGGTCAGGAAGACCCCCTGGAGGGAAACGGCTGCCCGCTCCAGTATTCTTGTCTGTAAAATCCTATGGACAGTGGAGCCTGACAGGCTACAGTCCACGGGGTCACAGAGTAAGACACTACTGAATGACTAAGCACATGCATGCAGCTTATTGTAAGTCAGATCATCATCACACCAAATATGAATATATCTGCAGAATCATTTAAATATATGTATTACAAAAATATTTCCTTCTTCTTCATGATGACAAAATATCATGACTGACAGGTGATCACCCCTGGAATATTTAGAAAGCACTTAAGATGGAAAAAAATCCAAGAAACAACATCTAAAATCCATTAAAACAACATTGCTCTCCAAAGAGCTGAAAAGCAAAAAGGGCAGTTGGTGGCAATTTATGACACAACAAAATCAATTAGTTTGTTATTGGATTGGCTTGCTTTTAGAATGAATGTGTTGAAGACAACAACACATTCAGTTAACTCCTTTCTGTCCAGTATGACAAACAGAAATCACAAAAAGGTGTGGCTCTGCAAGAATGAAAGTTGTAGGACTTTCCTGGTGGTCCAGTGATTAAGAATCCTCACCTGCCAATGCAGGGGATACAGGCTCGATTTCTGCTGTGAGAACATTCCACATGCTGCAGGGCAACTAAGCCCAGTCGCCACACTTACTGAGCCTGACTGAGCTCTAGAGCCCATGCCATTACTATTGAAGCCCATGGGCCCTAGAGCCCGTTCTGCACGAGACAAGCCCCTGCAATGAGAAGCCCACTCACTCCAACTAGAGAGTAACTCTCAGCTGCCACAACTAGAAACCTGGGTGCAACGAAAAAGACCCAGCACAGGCAAAAGTAAATTAAATTATTGAAGAAAGAAAGAATTAAATTTGTTAGCTAAGAGTCATAGTTAAGACTAAGATCTTTAGTCTCAAATATTCCCACAGGAGTAATTAAATAATAAGTATATAACACCCGTTATGGCATATATATATATATATATATATATATATATATATATATATATATATATACCCTAAAAGTATTTAGATCAAGAGTTATAATAATATTTTGTTTCTTTAAATTCATTCCCATTCACAGGACCATATTCAATGAAACATTCTTTAAAATTCTGAGATGCACTGAGGACTTAGGTGGGACGAACATTCCACTTCACAGGATGTGTTAAAATGCCTAACTAGAGGCTTAGGAAATGTTTCTACCCTAGCAAACATTCACACTGACCTTACAATGTGCATCAGAGGACATTGCTCCTCTCTCCACAGTAAGATTCAGGACCATGGAATGCTCTAAAAAGCCAAAATTTCTCAACTGGGAATACCTAAACAAATTAAGGGATTGTGAGGTATCCACTGCACAAATAAGTTTACTTATTTTTTATGCATCTTGAATATACTGGCTCTGTACCATCCTAGAAATAACTGGCCAAAGCAGTCACTTATTTTGTATGGTATAGCTCTCTTGCAGAGTCAAGAAATTCTGCCAGACTCTTTATCCTCAAAGCATGCTCTACTTTACCTCTCTTAACTAATTCTGTTCTATTTTCTCCTCTTTACTCATCCCAGCCCAGCTTTAAGGGTCCTCTTACGATTCCAAAAGGAAGCTGACAGTGCTCTACCTTAGAATCTCTGTACTTTCTGTTCCCAAGCCCTGCCATGGCCCCTGTGTTTACACGTGCCCCCATATAACCAGCAAGGCATACACTACTGCCCCACTGCTACTCCCACACTCTCTATAACTGGTTCCACCTTTAATTTTCACAAACCATACGCTATATATTATTTTACTTTTTGTTGTCTATCTCATCTCTTCCCTGGTGGCTCAGATGCTAAAGAATCTGCCTGCAGTGCATGACACCCAGGTTTGATCCCTGAGTTGGGAAGATCCCCTGGAGAAGGAAATGGCCACCCACTCCGGTATTCCTGTGTGGAGAATCCCATGGACAGAGGAGCCTGGTGGGCAAACAGCCCATGGGGTCACTTACATCAGAACAGAAGTGGGGACTTCCCTGGAGGTCCAGTGGTTAAGAATCCTCCTTGCAATGCAGGGGACGTGGACAAGATCCCCGGTCAGAGAACTAAGACCTCACACGCCACACAGTAAGCCTGTGTGCTTTAACTACTGAGTCTGTGCACCACAGTTAGAGTCCATGCACTACAGTGGAAGATCCCGCACGATGCGACTAAGACCTGACACAGTCAGACAAAAACCAGACAAAACAGAAGCAGGATGAGGGGTAGACGGGAGGGAAGCTCAAGAGGGAGAGAACATCTGTACGCCTATGACTGATTCATGTTGATGTACGGCAGAAACCAACACAGTATTGTAAGGTGATTATGCTCCAATTAAAAATAAATTAGAAACAAAAACAAAACAGAAACAGCTTGCATTCGCTGTGTCTCCTAAAACAGTGCCTAAGTTCTCCACGGATTTGTTGAATGAATAAATGAATTTCTATGAAAAAAGTCTTAATTACAATTTTCAGCATGTTGAAACAGAAAAAAAAATGTTATCTAAAAAATGTGATTAATGTTACAGATCAAGTTATAGAAAATCATTTTCTCAACTGCCAGTGATAAGAACAGTTCTGCTCCTAGAGAATGATAGAACACAGGGTTTTGCAAGGGCATTTATAACCTATGCATTTTCTGCAAAGGCATAAGAAACTCCTCTGTGTAAATCCTTATTTGTCAGATGCAGCATACAGCATCCCTTAACCAAGATTTCAAGTCTCTTCTAGTTCTGTGACTCCCTTTCAGGTCAAATTTGGGCTGTCATCTCAGGTCCATCTATCCAGTAAAGTCATAAATTCGGGTTATACATTCTTAGGCTGTGAAATTACTGGAAACAGTGTGGTGACCGCCACCTCCAAGGGCAACCAGGAAAAAGGATGCGATATTCTTTCTATTGGGCTTCCTAGACAGTTCAGTAGTCAAGAATCTGCCTGCCAAGCAGGAGATGCTCTTTTGATCCCTGGGTTAGGAAGATCCCCTGAAGAAGAAAATGGCAACTTACTTCAGTGTTCTTGCCTAGGAAATCCCATGGATAGAGAAGCCTGGTGGACTGCAGTCCATGGGGTCACAAAAGAATCAGACATGACTTAGTGACTAAACAACATCTTTTCTGTTCTCAGATCCATACCTTTAAAAGTGGTTTCCATTTTCATGATAACTACTCTTCAAAGTTGATCCCAGCACTTTTCATCACATCCATGCCCTTGTGGAGTCCCATTCAATGTTGAATATGTACATGAACACAACAATGTTTTTGAGAATGTTCTGGGTTTAAGCTTTAAGGACTAGAAGTCTCTATTTGTATCCTCTTAGCAGCCTTGAGTCACCATGATAGAAGCCAACTAACTTGCTGGAGGAAAAAGAAAACATAAAATGAAGCAAATAAAGAAAGAGCACAATGAGAAAAGAGGAAAAGAGGAAAGAGGAAAAGGCCCTCGGGCTACCTGGAGAGAAACTGTGCACTCGAGAGAGAAAGAAAGAGTGACCTAGCCACCCTAGTGCCCGAGCCTAGCTCGGCCTAGTCTTGTGGCTGTCCATCAGGGCCCCAGTGATGTAAATAAGCTATCTTGAATGCTTCAGTCCAGCCGAATCCCTAGGTAATTTCAGCTCAAATCAATTCCATATGAAACATAAAACTTATATAGCTAAACCTATTCAATGTACAAAATAATGAGAAATTATGATTGATGATAAGTTGATTGTGTTAGGCCACTAATTTGGAGGTCATTTTGTTTTGCAGCAAGAAAGAATTAAAACTTATGGCTACTAATATACCTTATTGGGGCTTGATAAAGCCCCACCTGGTGGTCCAGTGGTAAAGAATCAGCCTGCCAATGCAGGAGACACAGTTCGATCGCTGGTCTGGGAAGATCCCACACGCTGTGGAGCAAATAAGCCTGTGAGCCATAACTATTGAGCGAGTATTGTAGAGTAGCTACAATTACTGAGCCCATGTGCCACAACTACTGAAGACTCTGCTCCCTAGGATCCATGCCCTGCGGCGAGAAGCCCATGTACCACAGCTAGAGACTCGCCCCCGCTTTCCACAGCTAGAGGAAAGCCCGTGAAGCAATGAGGACCCAGCACAGCCAAAAATAAATAAACGCATTTATTTAAAAAATAATACACCTTGAAACTGTGAAAGTAGCTGAAGAAAAATTCAGGATGACTACTTCCACAGTGATTCTTCCCAAGTGTTTCTGTCTTTCATGAGAATGAAGATTCTGAGTTTTAAGATATTAATTATTTCTTCTCTAATTATATGACTGCTGCTTTTGCTGACCATGAAGAAGTGCAGGCTTCTTATACCATCTCAGATGGAGATGGAGAGAAGGCAAAGTTTTTAAGCCTGATGTGGCTGGACAACACCATTAGCACTTCATACATTATCCTGCCACCTCTCTTCAGACCAGACAGACACATGTCAGAGCAAATCCTCTAGGGCTGACGAAGTATTGCCATAACAGAAACCTGCCCTCAGTTCTTAATGGAGTTGGCCCAGTAGCTGGATTATTACAGCAAATGTTCATTAGACTTTACTACCATTAGATTTATTACCATTCATTAGATTTATTGCAACTTATATCCTGAAGGTATAAAATTAACTATAAAGAAAAGCCTTAAGATAAAATCTGTCTATGTTTCAACAAAAGAACGGAAAGATTTCAGGATTAGAGGCTTTACTCGGTAAGCTTCCTGACCCAGCTTCATTAAAGTTGAACCCAAGAGAGCAATCAAGCAGTCAGAAGTAGAAACTTACACTTCTCAGATTTGTATTTACTTTCCTTTTTATCATATTTATCCTATAGTTTCTGAAATAACTCTTCCGGTTGATTTTTGTCTTAAAGCAAATAAATGCAACAATCTAATCAGCTCACATTCAAACTGAAATTCACAAATCCCTTTATAAAAAGATGTGTTAAATAATTCAATGAGAAGATTATTATTACAATGAATTAAATAAATCTATGTGGTATATCTCTAATACTCTTGTGTAAAGCCTGTTTTAATTCTATAATCCCAACTGGATGCAATATACTTAAATGAGCACTATTAACTGCATTTTTTCCCTATTCTGTTTAGAAACATAATAACAGTTGGGAGACATTTATTAAGGAAACGTCAACTCTATTTGCACATTCTTAAAGAGAATATTAGAAAAACAGAATTTTAATTTTCATGTGTGCAATTTGTTAATATAATTAGAATGGGACACAATTAGGTTCTTTCAGATCTTTCAGTGTTAATTAAAAAGCTAATAACTTGAATGGTTATAAATACTGAATTAGTGAGACTAATGCTCCAGGCAGTTAATCTTTTATTTGTCATTTACTGAAGATCACTTAACTGGAATGTCATCTTTATGGCAGAGATCCCTTGCCGTGGAACTTCATGAATTGTAAGACTCCTAAATCTTACATGATGTGTCTCTGAAATATGTGCCAATACACCACACCCCACTCAGGAGTTTCCTAACAATCAGCAACCACTGCCTTTGACTCATTCCATTAAGGAATTTTACTGTCAGCAATTTTCCTGTCTCTCTCAACCCTAACAGTAATTTCTAACTTTTAGAGAAAGGAAACGTAGCTTCCTTAGAAAAAAAAAAAAAAAAGTGAAGAATCCAAGTTCTATGATTTAAGATGCTTATCAATACTGGACTTAAATAGAAACATTTTAAGAGTAGACAGTATGAGCATCAAAAAGATTAACATCATCAATTCCTGAAAATACATCAAATAGTGTTTGATGTATATTTTTAATGATGAAATTCATGAGTACATAACACTTAAAAAGAAATCTCATTAGTTGCCTTTGGAGGATGCTAGGCAACTTTATTTGCTAGTTTTAAGAACAGGATCCACTATAACATCTCTAAAAGAGAGAGACAACCAGATACGTGTCTCCTGATGTGGTCAAATATAAAGCAGGTAACACAATCTCTGACACATGCTAAGAAGTGAAAGTTTTAGTCGCTCAGTAGCATCCTTTGGTGACTCTGTGACCTCATGGACCGTAGTCTGCCAGGCTTTTCTGCCCATGGGATTTTCTAGGCAAGAATATTGCAGCAGGTTGCCATTTCCTTCTACAGAGGAATTTTCTCAACCCAGGGATCAAACCTGGGTCTCTTGCATTGCAGGCAAATTCTTTACCATCTGAGCCACCAGGGAAGTACCCTAACTCAGCCTCTATTATCAAACTACCAGTCTACAGTAAATAAAGGGGCAAAAGAAATTATTAAGCAACATCTCCAGGAAGTAACTGGCAAAATCTAGAAGGTAGAAAGCTTTACAGAGCAATAATGGGGAGGAAGGGAAAAATTCTTTTCACCAAACAGAATTCAACGTGGTTAAGAGGTGGATCCTTTTGAGATGGTGTTACATTGCAGTCCTTTGCTTACATTTCCCTACTTATGCCCTGTACACAGGTCAAAATTTTTTCATCTTACTTGGTAACAGTGGTAAAACCTAAGGTCCCTCACTGCGTTTCAAAGGTAAAAATTGACTAATCATAAAACCTTCTTTCCTAAGAAATAAATTATGTTCCTAAGAACATCTTCCTCTCTAACACAGCAAGGGAAGACCTGAGAAGACATCAAAAACAGATGTGTTTAGACTCTCCCAAAGGGTGCCTCTTAAACAGCTTAAAACTACTCTAGTGAGCAGGGTGCTTTACTTAGGTGAGATGTTTCTTGGCAAAAGAAATCTCCTCAAATCCTTTTGTAGCTAATCCTTTCGTAGGTTTTGTTTTTTTGGAAACAAAAAATATTTTGTTTCATAGCCAAGGAAACAGAGCCACTGTGCAATTATAGTTCATGTTTTAATAAGAAAGTGAGAATGTGCTTATTTTGTAGAGAAAAAAATACCAATTTTATTTGAAATTATAATCAAATGGCAACACAATTTTAGTAGTCACAAAGAAAATGGAATTTAAACAGACCCAGCATTAAAAAAAAAAGCATGTCAACATGGACCTCACATTATCATCCCCCCAAGAAAATGGGCAATGGTTCCACCTGTATGTATGTCATTTCAATCCACTGTGATTTAGCTGAAGGAAATCATTATATCTTCCCAGCATTTTAGAATAATAGCATGATGATGAGACACCTAAAAAGCACTCAGAGGAAACATTGGTTGCAGTGCCTGTCCAAAGTGTTTAATGTTTGTCAAACTTGAACTGCACTTGAAGGATATGTTGCTAGTAATGGATTTCCAATTCTGTTTCCATGTGGGCAAAGTATTGTAGCCATTACAAGCTGAAGCTTATTATGTTGCATTATGTATGAAATTATTTTTCTGAGTAGGTACACAAACACAAAGGACAAAAATACAAAAAAGTGATTCCTTTTATTGCTCAACACACAGCAGTTAGAAATAATTTGGAAATTTTTCAAATACCTCATTTAGGGAAATTCTTAAATCTCCTTAGGAGTAATTATTTTTTGCAGTGTTACTAAATAATTTAGCAGTAGCTAAGACTGGCATTAATTTCTAAAGGAGTTATGTCTAGTAGTAGAATAAAATAAAATGCCAAGTAACACAGGTATTAAATTTTGAATACAATTGTAACATTGATTAGCTGTGTGTGATTTGGATCATATAATTGAACTTCTCTGGACCTCAGTTACCTCTTCATAGAACAAGAAATAGTAAGCCTGCCTCTTATAATTGTAGTGAAGATTGCATGAGCCTAGGTCAATGATTACTAAAAAGCAGGCATTCAAAATTATTAGTCTAATCCACATTATTAAATTAGAGCTCATAGAAGCAACTGAATTTGTGAGCTGAAAGCACTATGCAAACATACAGCACACACAAAAGGGCTATTTTCTTTGTTTTGTAAAATTTGTTTTCAGATGTCTTGACAATGGTTTGCCAGTGACTGTTATGGGTTTTTCTTTATTAGTGAAAAGACCATGTGTCAAAACTGAAATCATTCTGTCTTTTTACCTTGATATATAATCAACCAGTTTGTGGAATCTCATTAAACAGGAGCTTGAACTTTTGGTGTAAGAAACAAAGAACTATTATTAGTGGTGATATGAAATGGCTTCAAAATGATGATGTGTTTTGATGTGTAAAATACTGTAGAAAAATCACAAAATGTGAAGGGAAGTTCTTCTGTATAAAATCTAGCCACTGTAACCTGAGCAGAAACCCTCTCGCACAACATGCCAGGAAAGCTGTGCCTTATTTCGGTTTGTACAACTGATTCACAGCCATACAATCTGTAATTTATGTGCAAATGAGTACAAGCGAGGGAGATGTGTATGTTCATGATTTTGGCACACAGTTGCCACTTTAAATTCAAAACACTCAAACCTGGCCAATTTTTCTCCACACTTGGAAAGAATTACTTTCTTTTGGCTGTAAGACTCACTGTAAGAATTTTCAGGCCTAGAGAGAAGGTTTTGTTTACAAATTCAAAAGGGAGAATGATCAAAATCTAGGTAAGAACAGAGGAGGGCTTGCAACCTTACCTCTACATGGAATCAAACTTCAGAATGAGAGCTGGCTACATTCAGCAAAAACGTCAGTTTTCTTTCAGATGAGTAAGACAGCTCCCCAGGCAGATAACACATGTCCCATACCAGGGCGTAGGTTCTTCAGCAGAATTTTGCTCAGAGATGCCAGTACAGTCTCTGTGAGAGTGTACATAAGTACACATTAGCTACAAGCAAGGAAGGGGAGACTAAAATTCATGAGACTGCGGAGGTGCACAAAGAGGAAGATCACACAGAGAAGGCTGCCGTGCCAGATCCCAGCTCAGGGCCACATATCCCAGAGCAAGGTAGCACAAGTCCCACCTACTACTACCATTCTTTTCTATGAATTAAAATTACCAGTTATGCACCGTTTTGAACAATAATGAAGATTCCCTGGATAAGCAATGGCTACCCACTCCTGTATTCTTGCCTGGGAAGTCCCACGGACAGAGGAGCCTGGTGGGCTATAGTCCATGGGGTTGTAAGAGTCAGACATGACTTAGTGGCTAAACTGTGACAAGACCCCAGTAAATATCATCCTACTGTCATCTTCCAAACACGTCAGAGTGCACTATATTCTATTTTCTCCCATTCCTTTTCTTAACAGAAGCTTTTTTCACTGTAGCACTTCGCCATAAACTGGAGACGTGTGATGTGGCAAATTTAGAGTTGAATGTAAGCTCAAATTCCAGTCTCTACTAGCAGTGAAGAATTATTGTCTTGGAGCCTTACATTTCTTATCAGGTAAGTGAAGATAGTGATGCATCAGAGAATTATAAAATTGCTTTAAAAATGTTTAAATATATTTAAATATATATATATAATATTTATATATTTTACACACAAATATGTATATGTAAATCACTAGTTACAAACTTAGCTTGAGGTCTGGCACATAATAGTATCTATCATTAGTTTTACTCATTGTCCATTCACAAATATTTGCGGTTCCCTGGTGGCCTAGATGGTAAAGGATCTGCCTGCAATGCAGGACACTTGGGTTTGATCCCTGGGTTGGGAAGAGCCCCTGGAGAAGGAAGTGGCTACAAACTCCAGTGACATCTGTATTATATACTAGAGATACCATAGTAAAAAAACTAAGTCACTACACTCAAGAAGTTAATTTTGCATTGTAGAAAATATGCAAGGTGCAGATTTAAGATAGGGCTTCAACAGAGACAATGAAATACATAGGATAATTATCACTGCAATCTTAAGAACTAAGGGAGACACTCTTAGATAAAATAACATGTATGTTATGAAATGCCTGAAGCACACAAAGGAGATAATCAAGAGAAACAGGGGAGAGGAGGAGATAAGGGAGGTATGGAATTCTATGTAGAGGGGACACAGAAGCAATTCAAACAATCAGCCTTGTTAGAGAGCTTTCTACGGGTCCCACACCATACTAAGCCATATGCATATTTCATTTAAACCTCAAGATCAGAAGCCAAACATTACTGAACCTACAGTCTGTCCACCTGACCTGATGCATGGGATGCTCACTATGATACCATGGTGTGTCTGGGTCTAGCGCATCTTGGGGCAGGAGCACAGAGTGGGACATGTGGTATGAAGGCTAGAAAGGTAAGGATGCAGGCAAGAGTGCTTTGAAAGGCATCGTCAGTGGGACTTTGTGGAAGACAAGAAAATGCCTCAGATATGTGGTTTAGAAAAGAATTTGGGGCTTCCCTGGTAGTTCAGATGTTGTCTGCCTGAAATGCAGGAGACCTGGGTTCGATCCCTGGCTCAGGAAGATGCCCTGGAGGAGGGAATGGCAACCCACTCCAGTGTACTTGTCCGGAGAATCCCATGGACAGAGGAGCCTGGTGGGCTACAGTACATAGTGTTGCAAAGAGTCAGACATGACTGAGTGTCTAACACTAGGGTGGCTAGTACATGGAATTGGCTGGATCAGAGATAAGTCTGGAAGAAGAGGAACAAATCAGAAAGCTGTTGTCAGTTATATAAGAGACAGTGGTAGCCCAAATTAAGACAGTGACAGAAGTAATGGTAATATGTGATTCAAGAGGTTTCCATGGAAGTAGAATTGATAGAACATAGCTAATTATTAAATAAGGAAAGCAGGAAGTAGGAGAAAAACTAGGAGAGGAGGTTAAATGACTTTCAAAGCAAGCCTGTGTAAGATGTAAAGTGCTTAATACATTAGAGACATCCAACATAATAGATGTTATTTCCTTTCACTATGCATCTGGTTCTCTTTCCTTAATGAAGCTACTATCATCTATCTCCTGGTTCCAGTTTACCACTGAGCATTTTATCACATACAGAAGTAAATTACATTTGTCATTATTCTCCAAGACACGAAAAATTGTGTAGGAGTCTTTTAAAAGAATCATTAAAGTAACAGATCTAATCATTGTTCTTTTATATGCACATTCACCTTGGTGAAACAAAAATGGACCAAGGGGGCCCAAATCCAAGTTGAAATCAAACTCTTTAATTTGTTTTTTAAACAGAGCTTTATTTTATCACACCATAAATTCTTTCTCCAGTATCCTTTAAGTGTGACTGGGCATCTGTAGGTATTCATTATATCTATGTAATTTTTCACACAAACTTTAGTCATTGTTTTTCTATCATAATTCAGCAAAGAATTCTCATTATTTACCAGATAGACCAAAATTCACTTTTTTTAAGTGAATTCAAGAATATTTTATAAAGTAGAAATACTTAAATCACTTTTGGAATCAGCTTTAACTATTTCAAAATTAGAAATATTCTTACTTAATGGTCAGAGAAGAATTGACATATTTGATACAATCTCTTTCTTTCTTTTTGAAAATGAGGAAATGGAATTTCAGAAAAGTGATGTTTCATGCTCAAGATCAAACAAGTTTCAACACCTAAGCTGACAACCTAAGTCTTTTACTCTGGGTCTAAGGCTCTTCATATTAAAGCTCTGTGGCTTGTTGGTCCTCTTCTTTACACAGTGACAGTCTAATAGCATAAAAAGGAAAATAAGCAATAAATAAGCAAGTAAATATAGTAATTACAAAATATGGTAATAAAAAGCAACATTTACCAAGTTTTTAGTGTGTGGCAGGCAGCATTCTCAGCACGTTTTTCATTAATCTGTATGCATTCCTTATGCACTCCTTTGAGGAAGATGCTACTGCTAACTTTGATAGATGGACAAACCTGAGGCATAGAGAGACTGAGTGATTTGTTCATGGTCACAGAACTAGGAGGCAGGGGAGCAGAATTCGAACCGAAAAGAGACAGAGTCACAGGGCCATTAAGTGAAAGGGCCAGATTAAGAAGGAGCCAGTCCCCAGCAGAACAAGGTATGAAAAATTCTTGAATTAGCAAAAAGTTGGATGTGTCGAAACACTCAAGGAGGAAGAATGACATAAGACAACAGGGAAAAGTGGCAAAGGACAAATCACACAGGGTGGGGAATGCATGGATAAAAGGTGAGTTTTTAAGCAATGAAATGGAAAGCACTGAGTACTTTTTCAACGTATCATAAGATGATTTGAATTAGATTTAAGTTCACTCTGGCTAGAGAATCCTTACTGAGATTTGGGAAATAATTTGACAATCATTTCTTTCTTCCTTTATTCATTAATTCAACAAGAATTTGCAAAGTGCTGATTTTAGCACCTAATCTCGCCCCATATTTCCTTATTATAACTTCCTAAAATAAGAAATATCTCTTATTTACCAAACCACATATTCCCTAATAGCAAATGGTTATAATTAGAGGTTTCCCAATAATTCCTGAAAACTAACAGCTTATACAACACTAACACATGTAGTGTATTTCCAGTGGTCATGTATGGATGTGAGATTTGGACTATAAAGAAAGCTGAGTGCCAAAGAATTGATGCTTTTGAACTGTGGTGTTAGAGAAGACTCTTGAGAGTTCCTTGGACTGCAAGGAGATCCAACCGGTCCAGCCTAAAGGAAATCAGTCCTGAATATTCATTGGAAGGATGGATGCTTAAGGTGAAGCTCCAACACTTTGGCCACCTGATGCAAAGAGCTGACTCATTAGAAAAGACTGTGATGCTGGGAAAGATTGAAGGCAGGAGAAGGGGATGACAGAGGTTGAGATGGTTGAATGGCATCAGCAACTCAATGGACTTGAATTTGAGTAAGCTCTGGGAGATGGTGATGGACAGGGAGGCCTGGTGTGCTGCAGTCCATGGGGTCGCAAAGAGTTGGACACAACTGAGTGACTGATCAACAACAACATGTCCTTGAAATATAAACTAATCAACTGGTTATCTCTATTAAGTCAACCAATTGTTTAAAGAAAATACTCTTTTTTCTGGAATCAACTGTTTATTTTGACATCATATTCTACTCCTTAGAATTTTAGTTTTCTCACTTTGTATTTTCAGATAAGAATATAAAAATTGTTGCAAAATAGTAAATATACATTACTCTAAGAGGTGGATACTAGACTCCAACAATGATAAGTAGTGCTTATACTCTCAGCTACAGAGATCATACTGAGACATGGCACAAAGCTAAGGGTTTTCAGTCTTGGTAGAATATTCACCTTATATACTTAGCAAATAGACAAAAGAAATAAAAAATCATGAGTATCCTGAAACATCATAAATTTCCCTCATGTATCCAATAGTTTGAATTGTTAAGTATCTACTAATGTACAAGGTGCTATTCTAAAGTACTATGGAAGGAATAAATTATATGCATGTAATTTTACATTAATGTAAAATTCCCTTAATGATATGAGGCTTTGATGTCATGCAATATTACCTCATGTTGTTAGACAATAATACCAAAGATTAGATTTTGCACTAAACATTTTGCAGAAACCTAAAAGTTGCTTTCCCTATAAAACTGCATTGTGTCATATTTAGTGAAGCAGAAGTATCTTCAAACGTTCAAAAGACTAAAAATGAAATTTCAATGGCCACAGATGTATCAAAGGATCATTCATCTTTTGACTCACAGAACCACAGGTTCATAAAACCTCTGAATAGAAAGAGACCTATGGGGCATTCAGTCCAATGCTCCTGTATTCACAGTAACAGAAGAATTACCTGGGGCGCTTTTAAGTTATATAGATTCCCAGGCTCTGCCCACTAGAGATTGATTCAGCAGGTCAGGATGGAGCCAGGAAATCTGTACCTTGGTAAGATTACCAGATAATTCTGATATACAGCCAGTTTTGAGAACGCAAACTTAGTCCAACACCTGGATCTTTATTTAAACATGGCCTGTGCTATCTTTCCTAACAAGTTGTCATTTATGATTAATCTCTGCTTTAATATACCTTAGAATAGAATAGGACCTTGACTCTAAGGCAGCTGTAGTTGCTGTCATTATTAGAATGGCATTCGTGTTATATATACATGTATTATAGACACTTATGTGTAGTTGCCTGTTAATATGTGTGTGTGGGTGTGGGGCTTGCTAGGTAGCACTAATAGTAAAGAACCCACCTCCCAGTGCAGGAGACTTAAGAGAAGTGGGTTTGATCCCTGTGTCAGGAAGATCCCCTAAAGGAGGGCATGGCAACCCACTTCGTGTATTCTTGCCTGGAGAGTCCCATGGACAGAGGAGCCCAATGGGCTATGGCCCTTAGGGTTTCAAAGAGTTGGACACAACCAAAGCAACTTAACATGCACACACAAGTTGGGCATGTGTGCTCAGTCACATCCGACTCTTTGTGACCCTGTGATGGCCCACCAGACTCCTCTGTCCATGCGATTTTCCATGCGAGACTACTAGCGTGGTTACCATCTCCTACTCCAGGGGCTCTACCTGAGCCAGGGACTGAACCCGCATCTCAAGTGCCTCCTGCCTTCGCAGGTGGATGCTTTACCACTGTGCCACCTAGAAAGCCCCGTTTGTAAATATATGCCTCTAAAAACAAGGCTGTAAGCTGCATGAGGGCAGAGTCTAGGGCTATTTTCTTTACTGTTTCACATCCAGCACTTAGTTCAGACCTTGACATTTAGGAGGCAGTCATTAACGTTTGTTGAATATTTATCTGATTGAATGAGGTCCTTCCTTTGTTTGACTTATGTCTCTCTGAAACATCTATCTACTGTGCTAATTTTTATAATTCCAAGAAACTGGCTAAGTCCATACTTCAGATACTAGGTATAAAAACACAAATAAAGTGCATTCTTCTCTCAAGGCCCTTAATTATTTACCTAGAAAGGCTGAGGCAGATACTTTTAATCAAAAATGGTTATGTAATGTCAAAATAAGTATGAAATAAAGGTGGGACCAGTCCATTCTAAAGGAGATCAGTCCTAGATGTTCACTTGAAGGACTGATGCTGAAGCTGAAACTCCAGTACTTTGGCCACCTCATGCGAAAAGTTGACTCACTGGAAAAGACCCTGATGTTGGGAGGGATTGGGTGCAGGAGGAGAAGGGAACGACAGAGAATGAGATGGCTGGATGGCATCAACGACTCGATGGACATGAATTTGAGTAAACTCCGGGAGTTGGTGATGGACAGGGAGGCCTGGCATGCTGCGATTCATGGGGTCGCAAAGAGTCAGACACGACTGAGAGACTGAACTTAACTGAACTGAACTGAAAGGTGGGAACTGACAGGAAGGTAACTAATCTTGTTGCAATTAATGTAGAGGAAGGAGATATATAGATGTCAAGACATGTTTTTCAAGGCAAGTGTTTCTGGGACTTCCCTGGTGGTCCAGTGGTTAAGACTTCATCTTCCAATTCAGAGCTGCCAGGTTTGATCCCTGGTCAGGGAGCTAAGCTTCCACATGCCTCTGGGACAAAAAAGAAACATAAACAGAAGCAATATTGTAACAGATATGATAAGTTCTTATACATAAAAACAAAACAAAAAAAAACAAAGCAAGTGTTGATGAAACTTGGCCTCTGTTCAACCATGCCAAGTATAAAGGGGGAGACAGAGTTTGGGGTAAAGTGAAAAAGACTAACTTTTAATTGCTTTGCAGGCAAAGGGGGCCATGGTGGGCTAATGTGGCCCACCCTGGAGATGCTAGTGAGGAGTTTTACTATGTTCAAGGAGCAGGGTGTGATCAGCTCAGGGACAATTCAGGGATTGGGTGTCATCAAGGTGAAGTTTCAAGCATTATCAACCTTCTGGTTTCAACTAGTCTAGGGTCTATGTTCTTGCGGTCAGCAGTTTTCCTCTGGAAGGGGTCTGCTTCCTGTAAAAACAATTTAGGAATGTGTGTCAAGAATCTATCTGTATCTTTCAGGGAACTCTGAATTTCATGATTCAGCTATGTAGCAGAATTACAGTCTAACTTGTTACCAGCTCCCCAGCCCAAAAGCTATACTTTGTTTGTACATCTTTACCTTTCCCAATCACTAACTCTTGAGTCAGCATTTTACTTCAAAAGACAAGGACAGAGGAGCTTGTACATGGTTTCACAAGTGATGCTAAGTTGAGTCTTAATGGTTTAGCACTTGAATTGCTGAACATTCACGTGCATTAAATCAAGTAGAACAAATTATATTCCTCTTCTATAGGATAGCCTTCTAAACATAGATAACTGTCTCTCAAACTTTTTCTAGGACAAATATCCAACTTCCTACAATTATTTCTCATGAAACTATAATTTTTTTGTTTGCTTGTTTGCTTTTGTCCCATAGCAGATTAAATAATCTAAAGAAGACTCTGAAGGCAAGAAATATAGCAGATGACTTTCAAGTTAAAGAAGTGCAGCTGAACTCCAAAGGCATCTACTATACTCATGAATAACATGATTTCTGTAGTTACAGTGTGAGTTACAAGGCAGCAGCACTGATATACAGAGCATCAACAAAACCCAAGCGTCCTCCCTCAGCATCCTAAATCAGATTGAAAGCTGCAAGATGATCAACACAAATGGATTTAAAATGAGACAAGGGCAATTGTTAGTCTTACCATCTTGGTTAACCTCATAGACTAACTTCCACAATCAACAGATAAACAGAGGAATCACATAAACTTTTCCAGGTAAGCAGTGCTATTTAATAAGCTAGGAAAAGATAGCTCGGAGTTGATGTTGTCATAGAAACAATTCTTGCCTATTAAATCAGTGAGAGGGCAAGAAAAATGTGGACTTACCTGTTCTGGTTAAGTGTAGTGCATGCAAAAGATGTTGAAATGTCAGAAGGCAGAGATGATAGCTGCAATGGTAAAATTCTATTCTCACTTTAAGTTAATTACCCCCCCCCCATTTTCTAAAGGCATACACTTAGTAAGGTATCTACCTACTCTTCAAGGAAAAAAAAAACAAGAACTTTTAAATTGGAAATGATGAATCCCATTTTCAAAAAAAGATTTGAGAGAATCTACTGAGCTCCTCTGAAGAACTAAATTAAACTCAGATTGCATCCATCTACTGGGAAAGTACAGACCCCCAAGGTGATCAAACACTCAGAACAGCTGCTAGATGTCCATTAAAACCATGCAAAAAAGGCACTTATTTGATGCATTTCTCCTGGGAGGTTTGTATCTAAAATGAGACTAGAAATAACATTGCCTCCTATAAAGTAACTGGCAGATCCCAGCTGGGGAATATACTTATAATTAATAATGAAAATATTAAACTCATTTCCTGTGCTTACTTCCTCCCACACTACCCTATACCTCTATACGTATGGCCTTTGAATAAAGGGGATTCCAAATGAAGCCATTGTTATATCAGTTGTTTGTTAAGGCATGGGCTTCTTAGCTGCAACGTAGAATACAATGTGAATAAGTTCCTTGAGAATAAGTTCCTTTGGCATAGGGAATACAATATGGTAAGCATTTCATATATATGTGTATATCTGTGTGTGTGTGTGTGTGTGTGTGTGTGTGTGTGACTGGAGATTTCAAACAAACAAGGAAGTTTAGAGAGGCTATTTTAGTCAGAGGACAGGTAAAGTACTTCTCATAGTATGTGTCCCAGACCTGGGTTGCATCAGCTTCACCTGGGAAATTTTCAGACATGCAAATTCCCAGTCTCATACCTCAGACTCACTGAGTCAGAACCTCTAGGATGGGGCCCAACATTCTGTGTTCTAATAAGCTCTGTAGGTGAGTTTCATGTACTATAATACTGAGAACCACTGGACTAGACATCAGTAATTTGAAAGAAAATGTCATGCTTAAGGAACCTCAAGATCCTCAGTATTGCTCAACTTTAGACTACCTGTAGACAGTGGGAAAGTTTGAGGATGAAAATGTAATGCAAGATGGCATAGTGCATGACGTGCCCTCTTCTGGAATGTGCACTGTATTAAGATGATAGAGAGCTACTAAGACATCTGTAAACAGGTAATTAAATTAACTCTAGGGGCAATGTGAGAAATAGGCTGAGTCCCTCACTGGGTGAAACTGCCCACCGAAATAAGATGATACAATAATTGGCTGGGAGACTAAAAGATGCCACAGTTACAGAAGACTTCTAGAGACTGAGCAAGGACTACCTAACTTCAAATCAGGATGGGCTGAGGAGGAGGAAGAAGTCAAAGATCTATTTCACACTTCTGTTAGTGGTTAAATGCTAAAGTGACTAAGGGCAATTAAAAACGCCTAAGAGGTGTGTCTCTCTCCTTTCTACTCTCTCTCTCTCTCTCTATATATATATATATATATATGTGAATCTCCAAATTAAAAAAAAAAAAATTAAATTGTGCTAACAAATGAGATACCCTAAGGAAACTAAGAGAGAAGAGAACTAAGGGGGAAAAGCCCTGAAATAGCTAAAAAGAACTTTATGGGTATGCTGGACAGCAAAATAAACTTTAGTCTCTGATTTGTGCACCTCCCCACAGACCTAGCCATCTGCAAAAGCTACTGGTTTAGCTGTAAAAATAGGGTTAACTGAGAGAGGCTCTAGATTTCATAATTTTGAGAGAGGCCTAGCTTTTTCAAGGGTAAATATTAAAAAAAAAAAAACTATTAAGCACTCTAAAGCAGCAATATTTCCAAAAATAATCTAAATTAATAAAAAGAGATTAAAACATTTCACTAATGCCCTTTAAACTAAAAAAATAAATAAAAGATTAACTTTATATATTGATAATTTGGCAAATAAAACTAATAATCATAAAATCAGGACTAGGTAAAGCCCTCTCTCCCATCCTTTCATTGACATTCACCACCTCCCTGAAGGGAGATAATTACCCAACTTACTCCATACCACTCCCCTGCAACTTCTTTTCAAAAAATGTCCACTTAAAAAAAAATCAGTTTATAATAACTTATTTCCATATGTTACTAGGTCCCAGGGAGAGTTGTAAGGACACTTCATGCTACTATGTAACTGTCCATGCAATTATGCCCTGACTCAGGGCCCAAAAGGCAATGTGGTACTTGGGGGAAAAGAAAGTTCAACACAACGTGTCACCTTAATCCTCTTGGCCTTTCTGGCAGTTGATGTAAATTTTTGTTGTTTTTTTAGAAAAAAATTGCAACCTTGCCAGAATATACTGCCTCTGAGCATTTTAGCTGCCTTCCCATCTCCCATTCCACAAGCCCGCCTCGGCTCACCCACAACTCCTGAAAGACACATACACTGTAGGGTAAGGAGTGGGTATAAGATGAATTATCTCTTTCCACCAAACACCACTCCTTTCCAAATTATGGATAATGAGGCCAGAAGTATAATTACTGAAGGAGTTTGGAAAGTTAATTACTGAAATAATCTAAAAAATTGTGGTGACTGCAATCAGTACAACTCACTTTATAGCTGTCAAAACCACTTAGAATGTGATAAACATCTTACGTTTGCAAACCCAGATGCTGCACCAAAGGAAGTTTCATATTAGCAAATTACCACAAGAACCCATTACAGTCAACTCATTTTGATTTTGTAATGAGAAATCCCATTAAAAAGGAATAACTTTAAGTTGTGATTGTTAAGTTGTGAAGCAGGGGAGAGACAGAAGAAAGATGCCAAGTCTGAGGAAATTTGTCTGGGATCCTCTCCTTGAAGCCTGTAATTTACAAGCAGCTCTACTTTCTTTGTTCCCACTGGTCACCAGAAGGTTGTGAAGTTTAAGGTAACACTCACTGGATCTCAAACTCAAAGCAGTTAGCTTTGAGATTGCAAGTCAAGAGTGCAGGAGAAAATGGATATTTCTGAACCATAGGCACAAATGTCCATGGAATACACACTCCACTCCTAAATCTTATTGCTATAGTCTCCGTGGCAGAGGGAAACTTCTCTATTACAGCTGCTTCTGCACCTAGCACCTAGCATCATGAGAGAAGTGATTTTTCCCCCGGCACTCTCCACTAGAAGCCCCAGGCTCACCTGCCTCTTCCCCCCATCCCTTTGTGACGCAAATGGCCCCAGGCCAAGGCCTAGTGCTCACAAAGGCAGGTGCAAACCAGGTACGCACTGAGTGCTCTGGGAGCTTCAGACTGGTCTGGGCTCCGGTCCTGCTGCTCCAACCCCAAGGCCGGGGGCGAGCCCTGACACCACCATCACGCGCTATGGCCAGCCAGTTATTCCTCCCTGTCACCCCGCGCCTCTCATCCTTGATGCCCGTCAAGTCGCACTTCGGACAACTCCAAGCGGGCATCAGCGTGGCAATCCAGCGCACCGACGGGAGAATCCATCTCGCAGTGGTCACAGAGGTCAAACGGGACAACGCTTGGGTCACGGTAGAGTGGGCCGAAAAAGGAGTCAAAAAAGGTAAAAAGGTTGCTCTAGAAACCCTATTCCTGCTGAATCCAGCTCTGACCTCGGCTGGGCCCTCTGCGCAGGGCAGGGCTTCGCGCTCCGGGTCTCTGGCGCCCCCTTCCGTCATCGGAGACCAGCGCACAGCCGCGCGTTGGGCTGTGAGGATCCCCCAGAGAAACGAAACGCCCTCGGGGGACAGCCTGGCCGTGAGAGTTCCCAGCAGCCCTTGCCTGATGATGCAGCGGAAATCTGCCTGCCTAAGAGAAATTGAGAAACTGCAGAAGCAGCGCGAGAAGCGCAGACGGCTGCAGCGCGAGATTCTCGCCCAGCGCGCCCGGGACGCCAACACCGGAAACGCCAACTATGAGATCCGGCGCCTGATCGAGGAGTGCCGCAGGCGCTTGCGCAGCGGCCGGATGTCCGGCCCCGAGCCGCGGGACGGCCATCGCATCTGCGTCTGTGTGAGGAAGCGGCCTCTCAACCGGCAGGAGGCCACCCGGGAGGACCTAGATATCGTCACCATCCCCTCGGACAACGTGGTCATGGTGCACGAGTCCAAGCAGAAGGTGGACCTCACTCGCTACCTGGAGAACCAGACCTTTTGCTTCGACCATGCCTTCGACGACACCGCCTCCAACGAGTTGGTGTATCAGTTTACTGCCCAGCCTTTGGTTGAGTCCATCTTCCACCATGGCATGGCCACCTGCTTTGCCTATGGACAGACAGGCAGCGGGAAAACGCACACTATGGGAGGAGGCTTTTCGGCAAGGGACCAAGAGTGTTCTAAAGGCATTTATGCCATGGTGGTGCAGGATGTTTTCCTCTTACTCAAAACTTCCACTTATGAGAAGCTGGACCTCAAAGTCTATGGGACGTTTTTTGAGATTTATGGGGGAAAGGTGTATGACTTGTTGAACTGGAAGAAGAAGCTGCAAGTCCTTGAGGATGGCAATCAACAAATCCAGGTAGTCGGGCTGCAGGAGCAGGAGGTGTGCTGTGTGGAGGACATGCTGAACCTCGTGGAACTAGGGAACAGATGCCGGACTTCAGGACAGACATCAGTCAATGCCCACTCTTCCAGGAGTCACGCAGTGTTCCAGATCATTTTAAAGTCTCGAGGGAAACTGCATGGCAAGTTTTCCCTTGTTGACTTAGCTGGGAATGAAAGAGGAGCAGATAGTTCCAAGGCCAACTGGAAAAGACAGCTGGAAGGAGCAGAGATTAATAAGAGTCTCTTGGCACTCAAAGAATGCATCCGAGCTTTGGGTCAGAACAAGTCTCATACCCCATTCAGAGCCAGCAAGCTCACACAGGTGCTCCGGGATTCCTTTATAGGCCAGAACTCCTCCACTTGCATGATTGCTACTATCTCTCCAGGGATGGCCTCTTGCGAGAATACCCTCAACACTTTAAGATATGCAAATAGAGTAAAAGAAATAACTCTAAATTTAAAGCCTTGCCATCGTTGTCTTTATCCTGCTGAACGTGAAATGCCAAGGGTATTGGAAAATCACATTAGAAATTCAGAAATGTCCATTCAGGGGGAAGAATTTATTAGCATACCTTGCCTACAGAGTGAGGAGGAGGAAGAGACTGAAGAAATCAAAGCACTATCCTCTCCATTAATGGATACAATTTCCTGGAAGAAATCAAGTCAATGGCCAGATAATAAAATCCAGGAGACATCTGATGGGGTAAACTGCAATGTTGACTTTTGCATTGCCCAGTTACTGTCCATTTTGGAGAAGAAAATAGATATTCTGACTGAGATTCGAAGGAAACTGAAATTATTACAAACTGACCTTCAAAAGGAGAGCAGGCATGGTGAAGTCAATGGTGAGAGATCAGATCTGAAATGATGAATACGGTGCTGCAGTTTCTAAGTTTCTTATAAAGGAAATTTGTCTAAATGATCTGGATAGAAAGATCCTCCTGGAAGGTTTAAAACCTCTTTAAATATGGCTGTGAGAAATGTCCTCTTTCTTCTGTATTTCTATAATTTATTCTGTAAAACAGTGATTTGTGACCTGGAACCATTTTACTCCCTAGGGACAATTGGCGATGTCTGGAAACATTTTCATTTGTCAGAATTGGGTATGAGAGGAGTGGTGGTACTAGAATATCACTAGAATACTAGAATATAGAATGATACTAGCAGAAGATCAGAGATGCTGTTAAACATCCTACAATATATGGAATAGCCTTCAAATAATTATCCTCTTGAAATTATCAAATAATACATATAAAATCAAATATATAAATCAAATATGTAACAAATCAAATATATAGCAAATAATTATCCTGTTGAAAGTATCAGTAGTACTGGGGCTGAGAAGGAGAAGGCAATGGCACCCCACTCAAGTACTCTTGCCTGGAAAATCCCATGGACGGAGGAGCTTGCTGGTCTGCCGTCCATGGGGTCGCTAAGAGTCAAACACTACCGAAGCAACTTAGCAGCAGCAGGGGTTGAGAAACCCTGCTGTTGAGGAACCTGGTTGTGTTGAAACCAGATTCCCTAAATTTATAGCTAGGAAGGAAAAACATTACAGATAAAAGAGACTAGAATTGGAACACACCAAGGGGTGCACAATTGAGTAAACCTACTGATGCCTATGCACGAGTCTTTTTTCTGCTACACTCGTGTGTAGATTCAAATGGTTTCTAAGCGCTAGATATACTGGGGAGGTGGGAGTGGAAAAGGGAGAGGTTTTTCTTTGAGGCTTTGTATGAGAGCCTAGAATTGAGATTTTATTTTTAATCTTTGAGGTGAAATCGCAAAGTACTGTGCTTCCTGAGAGTGATAAAATGAAGTGTGCGTGTTGCAAAAACATTCGTTACTAACTATAGTGTCTTAATGTTTTGTTTTTTTTTTTTCTTCTCACTCTTCTTACCAAATTTTGTGTTTACGTGATTCCTATAAAAAGCTTTGCCCCATCAAGTTAGGAAGTTAGGGTACTGAATAAGTCAGAAAAATAGAGAAGTTCTATCCTGAAGTGGGGCGTTTCCCATAAAGACTGCATAGGGAATGTAGTAAGAATGTGGTAAATATCAATGCCCTAGTTTAACTGTATAAGGAGAATATTTTCCTGATTCAAGGATCACCAAAGTCCATTCTTTCACAGAAAGAAGCAGCAGCTAATGTAATATGCAAATATAAATATAATGAATAATCTAATGCACACTTACCTTCACCAAACAATTATGGAATGCTGTAATAACGATCTTTTGGTTCCAAGTCTAGCAGTTCCAAACTCTCTTTTGAAGAAAAAGAAGTGGAATTATTTGCTAAGAAATTGAATGGTGGAGTAGGGAAACCTGAGACACAAAAAATTAGTGCCCAAAACCCTTTACTACCTTTGGCAGATGTGCCTATTCTTTTCAAATGTTTTCCTCCTAAGTTGCAGAGACCTTACTGTTACAAAGGAAAACTAACACGTCTGCCAGAGATTGGACTTCCCTCCTTACCTGGCTCAGCAGGTAAGGAATCCACTTGCAATGGAGGATACACAGGAGATGTGGGTTCAATCCCTGGGTGGGGACGATCCCCTAGAGAAGGAAATGGCAACACACTCCAGTATTCTTTCCTGGAAAATCCCAGTGACAGAGTGATAGAATGGTAATATACTAGCAAAAGCCATCAGGTTTCATCCTGGTTTCATCAGTATCATTGGAAACATATGGCCCTTTGTAGTTAATCAATATTATGGCTTTGAGATATGTTTTTCTCTCTGCTGAAACAGGAGAGAAGGGGGCAGGGCACAGCTTTTGAATGAATGATATACTCCAAGGACACAATATAAACAGATTAGAATCAAACAGGCTGAAGACAAGTCAACTTTCACTGGACCTTGATCCTCAATCAGCAAGATAAATGACACACCCAGAGACACCATGACAGTTCCAAGGCACCATCAAAAGACCAAAAAGTGGGTGGTGGCCCAATTCCTGTAAATCTCCATCCCTTCCCTAAGATAGTTGGAATAATCCTCCCACTCATTTGCTTATGAAATTATCCAGCCCATTAAAACTAACCACACCACATTTCAAGGCCACCATACTTGCCCTATCTGGGGAGTGTGTTTCCCTCTGAATAAATCCTCTTCTTACCTATCACTTTGTATCTCATTGAATTCATTCTGCAATGAGACATCAAAAAGCTGAGTTTCATTACTGTGGGTTTTGACTGAGTTTGAGTCTGGCCACACAGGATCAAGTCTCGTTCTGAGGAGAACGGTTTCATGGGTAAAGCCAACCAAACAGAGCTTTGGAACTCTATCATCCTTTAGCAAATGATAGCCTTCCCTTAAAAATGAGATGTTTTTAATCAGTATTTTTGTAATCAGTGAAAAAGATGGGGTTAAGAATCTTATCCCAGTTAAGAATAAGAGCTTAGAACTGGTTTTGAATCTAATCCCAGTTCTATAATACAGATATCTGTGATTTTAGGCAAGTAATTTAGCCCCACTGATCTAGTTCCTTCTATATGAACCTGGGTAATTATATCACTTATTTCAAAAGATTAGATGGTGGCTTTATTTTCATTCTGTTCTCCCATTTTTTTTTTTTTATGCCAAAGACTATCACTCATTTGTTACTATTGTCATTGTCCTTATTCTATTATGGCCCTCACATCTCCCCTTATTCTCTACCACACATAAAAGTTAGTGGTCTGCTAGGAGTTTCAACATTTTAAT